TTTTTTTGGTGATTTTTCATCAAAAAATTTAGCTTTCCTCCCGAGTAGGTTGCCTGCAACCTCGATTCCAATTTTTACCTATGATTTGAACGTTGGAGCTGGCATATTTAATTACAATCTCACTTCAGCGACATGTGGTGTATTGCAACCCAAGTCTCAGCGGTCCATTGTCACAAACATTTTTGGTTCGCAATCAACAGCAAACGACTGTGAGAGCTTCTAGCATGGCCTGGCCATGGCCCTCCTGCCTCTTCTCAATTTTTTTTTTCTTCATTTCCGCTTCCGAATACCGCTGGAGGTGAAAGGTCGGTCTCCGACTCTTTCCAAGACTCCGCCCGAGTCCATTCCCGAAGATATCCGATCGGGTAAAAATCCCACAAAATCCTCCCGCGTTCCGACAAACCGGGTCGGATAGTCGGGTATACCCGACTGAGTCGGGGTCGGGGCCCACCCTTATGAAAGACCAACCAAGAAGGACCCCCCTCTGTTCATCCTTCTACAGTCACTTTGCAATCTTCTTGATCAATTGATTTAGAATATGTAAGTTGATAATGTTTATTTACATGTCTACAACTACTTAACATATCTTGAGACCGTTCTTGTTTTGGAATCGTGATAATAATCATGATGACAAAGAAGAATCTGAAAAGCTTCTTTGACAAAGATGGGAGAGAAGAAGTAAGGGTAAGAAAGGGGGATTGAAAGTGTACATCAATATTATAATTAGGAGGTTTCTTTTGGAATGGTTGGATACATTACCAACTAGATCTTACTAAACTGGAATCTTTTTATTTGTCTGTCTATTATATTTTTCTTTGTGTTTAGTTAAAAATCAACATATACACAAATCTCAAGGAAGCAGAACCACACAATACACACCTCTACTCAATGAGAAAGCCCCAAGGTTAACAGCCAGGACGAGGAGAAAGGGGGGGAGAAGGATGATCAAGATTTGAAGAAGCAAGAGACGGCGGAGTACACGAGTCTCCGAGCGACGAGTGCGAGCAGCCAGAGCGATTTGGAGTGGATCGAGAGCAACGGCAGGCGGTCGAGGAGGAGGAAGTCCGAGGGCAGACTGGCCCATCCGGCCGCACTGAAGATGTAGGGCATGTTGACGAGCAGGGCTTGCGCTTGATGGTCGCCCATCCGTCGGCTCCTCAACAACCGCAAGATCTCCGTCGGACCCTTGATCTTCGACCTATTCATCCACCCCCCAAAAAGAAAAAAATAATTAAAACCTGGGATTAGTGGTTTCATTTGGAAGAAAAATAGAGAGTTTTCTTTTCTTTTTTTTTTTTTGGAAGGGGGAAAGGGATGCTGACGGTTGGAGGAGGAAGTATTGGTCGAGGGTTTGTTTGGAGAGCTGGTCGTCCAGGTCGGCGTGGATGCGCTGGTTGAGCGGGCGTTCGAGGAAGAACGAGATGAGGCCATCGATGAGCGAGATGAGTGTGTAGGAGAGCAGACTGATGACCATCGAGTTACGCGTCTCCTCTCCTCCTTCCTTCGGATCATTCAACAACACTACCACTTCTTCTTCTTCTTCTTCTTCTTGAGTTTGACTTGAGGCTTCATTTGGATCGAGTCGCAAACTGGTCTTCTCCTTGCTTATTCTTGCTGTTGTTGTTGTTGTTACAGTTTTGGGGTTTGGAGGAGAAGAGGGGGAGAGGAGATGGAAGAGGAGGAGTTGGCCGAGGTAGTTGAGCAAGTCGAAGCCCAATGAGCGGCAGATATCGGCGGAGAATCCGAGCCTGAAGTATCTATAAACAGTTGCGACTGAGCACGTGAGGAGAAAACAAAAAAAAGGGGGGGGGGGTGAGGAGAAGCCAGCTCGTGAGAATAATAATAATAAGAAGAAGAAGAAGAAGAAGAGAGGGGGAGGCGTACGAAGAGGGAGCTTGAGGAGATGCAAGCAGAGACCCAAGGCGGAGAGCAGGGATGGGGAGTGATGGGAGTAGATGAGCAGGGATTCGTAGACGATGAGGGCCAGAGCGCCGGGCCAGGCCGAGTGTCGGAGCGGCAAGACCGGCAGAGAGAGCAGCTTCTGTTCGTCTTCGGCCCCGTCCGCCGTCAGTCTCGGCAGTAAGAAGTGGTGGAGCCCGGCGGAGTAGAGGATGGCGAGGATGACCGCGCTCCTGGTGCTGGCCATCAGCCGCGTCGTGTGCAAAGGCCTGTCGCTGCTTCTGCCTCTCGGATCCCGAGCTTCGTCTTCGCTCCTTCTGGAAACCTTCGTTGTTGCTGCTTTGGTCATCCTGATCGTCCTCGTCTTGTTCTTTCTTCTTCTCCTGTTGTGTTCAAGTTGAAGGTTCTTCTTTTTCGGTCTCGGTGCTTTTTTGATTCCCAAGCAGGTGCCCCTTTGGTCTCCACAGGCCCTACCTGGGAACCCCTCTTTGGGTTTAAGAACAAACCCCTGAAACTACACATTAACCATCTCTAGTGGATCACTGATTTCTCAATATCTTCATCAAGTTTCCTCTAGCCGGCTTTACTTACTCAAGATAACGCTCCATCAAATGCTTTAATAGTGATCGATAATAGGTATTTCAGAGCTAGTACATAAACATATAAGTATGGTGATCATAAAAGACAGAGATACAAAACAAACAAAATCTTTTCAAACTGCGTCAATTATAATAAAAATGGGAACTCCTAGCTGTGTGTTATGAAGATTTGGTAGGACAAGAAGGAAAAGCAGCGATCAAGAATGACTAGGGATATTATACTAGAAGGGGTCTAACTTTAAGCCGGAACAAGCTTAGAAGAAGAAAGAGCAGGACTGGAGGAGGGAATTTGGAGCAACAACTGGGAAAGAAGGGGTGCGAGTGCGAGCTGGAGTTTCTCGAAGCTTGTGACCGATCCGGGGCCGAGGACGGCGAGGAGGGCATGGAGGGACTGGACGAGTTGGAGCGGGAGGCTGGCCAGAGGCGTGTTGGAGAGATGGAACCGGACCAGGTTCTCCACCTGGGACAGCTCGCTCGGCCCCAGAACTCCCACCATTTGCTCAAGCACGCCGTCTAGTCCGGCCTCTAAGATCTCGTACACTCCGCCCCTGCCCAGCGTCCCTTCCCCCCCTATTATACACCCGCTGAACGCGCGCAGGTCGCCCGTCTGGAAAACTATCGTCATGCATTCTTCCGTCCTCTCCAGTGCTGTCACGCCATTTCCTATTTATAAAGTGTTGAATATTGTAGGGGTTTTTGTTTTTTTTTCGTCATGGAAGAAAAACGAGAGTCAATTTTCTTTCTTGAGCGGTTTTGTAGAGATTGTGGGCCAGATGGGAGGACTCGGACTAACCGGTCAAAGAGGCTGCGACCGATAGAAAGGCGGCATGGATGATCGGGACTAAGTCGTGTTCATAGTCCGATGGAACCAAGCCGGATAAGCTATCATCGATCACATCTAGAATCTCTTCAATCACCTGATTGCAATTGGTCATTAAAAAGAATGAATGCCGTTGGTACGTTAGTTTATGTACCGCAACATCACACTCGGTTGGTTTGTTTTTAAGTTTGTTTTGACAGTTTTTTTTTGTTTTATGGATTTGGATGAATATTGTTGCCTCTCAGACTATAGGACTCACCTTGGTAGTAAAGATTCCTAAGAATTGTTCCAGACTTAGATTGATTAATGATCTGATTCCCGAGCTCGTTTTACCAGCCTACAACAAATAAAACAAGAAAGAAAGTATAAAGTGACCGGAGCGAAAGAAAAAAAAAAAACAGGTAGTGAAAACATATGATAAGTTAGTAATTAAATGGAGAAGGATTCGAGATCAAAAAAGGGGAAGGAAGTACGATTCCGACGCAATTGAAGCCAGCCGGCAAGCCGCCGAGCAAGATGATCTGGGTCAGACACGAAGCCAAGTCGTCGCGCCCGGCGTTCCCGAGCTGGCGGATTCCGAGGTCGGAGGCTGCGAGGAGGTCAGCGACGGAGTCATGCAGCCGTGCGGATGGGGCGGCTTGATGATCGGGATGGCCGGCGCGTCGGCCGATGCGCGACAGCCCTGCAAGCTCCTCGTCCCCGCGGCCTCTTCCGTCGCGCATCATCAATGGGGCTAAATCGGCTAGGATTTGCGGAAGCTTGTCCCCGTCTGTAGTCGTAAGGTATCCCGAATCCACATATGATGTCAGCCCCGCTCGTAGGCCCGCTTGCGTCCGCTCCTGTCGCCCTCTCTCGACTACTGTTCTGTCCCCCTCCGCTTCGCGTCTCTCGTGGATCCTCGGCTTGAACCGCACGTCTGCTGCTCCTGGCCCCGTCTTGTCTACTATCGTCAGGCCCGTCACTGGCCTCGATATGCTCATCATCATCAGCACCATCATTAGTATCACTATGGAGTGGAGCGGAGTCGTCATCTTCTCCATTAATCTCGCTTATCAATAATTTGGTCTTGAGTTTTTTTTTTCTGAACTTCTTGCAGTCGATTCTTTAACAAATCTGGATCCCTCAATCAAAGAAGACGTGGGTTGTTGGTCGGAGTTGGGGAAAGGATTGTATTAATGTGTGTGTGTGTGTGTTTGTTTGTGTGTGTGTTTGTTGGGAATGTAAGGTCGACGAGACAGATCAAGACAGACCGCCAGAGGGAAAGAAAGAAAGAAAGAAGGAGTGTGTAGGAGGTGTGTTCTTGTAACGAAAGAGTCGACGTTTTTTGTGATCTTTGTAAGGGTCTGCAAGGATCTTGAGGTGCTTGGATAAAGTGTGTCGGATGTGTGCAGAAATTGAAGGTTGAGTTTATAGATTGTGGATGGTCGACTAGCTACATAGCTTCCCTGTTTATTTATATCCATGTAGAGAACTTTTTTTTCTTCTTCTGCTTTCATTTTTAAAAAGGCTATCCAATCTCTTCATGCGTTCCTTCTTTTTTTACCATGTATTGCGATTTGGATGTGGATGCAAGCTCAGTTTCGAACCCAACTCCCTATCCTTCAGCCAATTCTAATCTGCATTACTACTACTAGGGAACTGTGTTATCTTAAGAGAAATGTGCGCGTGAGTACTGAGTATGTAGTGGGCTTTTATGTAGCGATTGAAGTCCAGCAGCTTCGATGAGCTTGGTCGTCGAGTTCGCAGGGTTATGAACGACATTATCCACCATTGTTCATCGCAGGGTCAATAGACATTGCCATGAGGCTGAGTCCAGTCTTGCTTGTTATCAAGGATCTGTATCTGTTGATATGGGCTCGCATGTCCACTGACATGCGCCGGCGGTGAGCTTGTTGGATTTGCCTCGTCTGGATGGGTTCCAACTTCCGGCGAGCAGACGCGTTGCCGGTTGTCCGCCGGGTGACAGCGGGTGACCAACAGCCGGCGAGCGTGGATGTGACAGCGGCGGATGTATGCGCCGGCGTGAACTCTACCGGGGGGGGGCTTGGTGGATCGCCCCACATATGGAATAAGCCCCCTTTTGGAGGGTTTGGGTGGAATCAATCAGGTTTGCAACCCCGTCAGGGTGGGAAGAACCATTAAAAGGGAACCAACCACGGAAGGAAAGAACTACACGATAATGTCTATTATGCGCTCAGATTCACGGACGGAAGCCGATATACGCTCGTTGACGATGAGGATGTCAATCTTGTCTCGCTCGGATGGCTCGGCACAATTCTCGTTCGGTCAGCCAGTTATTTTCTCTTCTGGTCTGTTTTGTTCAGAGACTACAGTGGAAAACAGTTTAACATTTAATTTTTCTGGATTATCCAGGCGATCTGAAGGCGTTGGGTGCCGTCACCGGGCCGGCTGAGGTTCGAATCAGGGACGAGAAACCTACCGAGGCCTTCGTCGATGTTATCGTTGTCCCGGTTTGTGGTCTTCCCGGTGCATAATCACTCGTTCAAATCATAAAACACACATACGCATTATATCATCATCATTTCGTATTCTTCTATTCACCATTCCTTCAAAAAGAAAAAAAAACTAGTTGGCTTAACGTGAAATCACTGAGATCACTTACCCTTGATTCGATTGTTGTATAGGACCCCCGACCAAATCTTTGGCACATTCGATCAAGTCGTTCTTTACGCCGTTAATACTACTGAAGAAATATCCGAGATCGTTAATCCAAATCAATCTTCAGACGCTTTCCAAGCCATCTGATCGATGGACGAATGGCTTCACGACAGGCACACTAGAACCGACCGCGACGGTGCCCCTATTCGAGGAGACACAGAGCGTGAGCGAGAAGGCGGCGTTGATCAATGCGGCCAGTTTGGCCTTACTGGATGCCGGGGTGGGTATGAGGGGGTGCGCATTCGCCGTCGGATTGGCGATCCTGCCCCCATCCGCCGTCTCGCCGAATCACAACAATCCGCAAGCTCTTGAATCCGATCTCATCGTCCTCGATCCTAGTCCTACCGAAGAATCTTCCGCTAAGAGCTTACATCTCGTCGGTTTCCATTTCGGTCATGGGTTCAATACAACAACTGACTCGGGCGTGGAGATTGGGACTGTTGCTCTATGTGAAAGCAATGGTAGCTTTAGCTACGATCAGGTACGTTCTTATACACACAGTAAAAGTCAACATGAGGACTGCTTGGCTGATTCTAAGAAACTTTTTTTGTTCCAAACTCGATCTCCTCATTTGAATCGTATATCTTTTCAATCGTCTTAAACTCTATATGTACAGCTACAAACTGTTCTCAAATTGGCTTCATTGGCTACCCAACAGATTCTTGCCTTTGTCCGACAGAGTTGCGAGACCGTTTATGACCACGAAGATGGCCTTGACTCTGCCTCCCAAGCTGCCGTCGGACAACCTACTTCTTCTTCAAATCTTGACAATAGTAATCCGGAAAATAGAAAAAAGAAGAAATCTAAAAAGAATAAATGAACCCTTTTTTCTTCATTTGTGGAAATTATTTCTCGTTCAAATTATGGCGGCCTCTTGCTTTCAGGAGGAGCTGGTCAAAGGATCACTCTGGTCATACATTTCATCTTATAAACCTTGATGTTTGTTTTGAATTTATCTGAGTAAGCATAGATCTAAGGGATACATGAGCAGATGAACCGATTCTCGTCTTCATGCGGAGCTGAAAACGACTGAGAAATGTGTTTCTTCTTCTTCGTTTAGTTTTGCATGTTGGAGAAGCTTCTCACGCAATGCGGAGTGACAATACTAGAAAAAAAAGAAGAAGAACAAGAAACACGATTTGGCGCAATTTCCGGGGAATACATGACGATCGAACGACGGTAAAACAGATCGAGTGTGATCATTGATTGATATGAGATTGGGGTAATTACAGAATGAGCTAAAGATGTGGGAATAGTACATTTATGATCAGGTCGTGATTAGGTGGCGGCTGCATCGGATTCGGCCCTTCGAGAGGCAGCAAGTGTTAAGACCTGTTGAGCTTTCGATAGTTCTTCTGTACCTGCCAAGTCGGTCTCATGTGCGCTCTGGAGAAATTGTCGTAAGAGGTGCAAGAGAAGAATGAGGGTCTATAGTAGGTTTGAAAAAAATAAAAAATAAAATAAACTGAGAATCTGACCACTAAATCGGCTAGTTCTTCAATCGCCTTTGATAGCCTTTGCTTCACATCGGGGATCATTTTGATCGTTTCATCCAGAACCTCTTTCTTTCGATTTTTTTTTTTGAAAAAATGGGGCAAATAAGCAACAGATTCTTTTTCTTGGAGAAGGTAAGAAGATGCATAGAGCGGTGGGGGTTAGGACGAACTTGTTTGCGAATGTTCCAGTCGTCATCCGGGGTTTCTTGCTTGACTTTTTCGATCCGTTTGAGTTGGTTATCGTACTCCTTCTTGTACGAATCTTCTTCCTTGATCAATCTTGAGTGGTTATATGTCAATCATGCAATTGAAATCAAACAAGAGCAACAGCAACAATCGATCAGTTAATTCGATCAGACAGGTTGAGCGGAAATAAAAAAGTTGAGAAAGAGAGAGAGAGAGAGAGAAAGAGGGGTGAGCTCGTACCGTTCAACGACTCCAGTCTTGATCTTTAATGGTCGGGATGCCATCGTCCACTCGTTTATGGGTAAGTCGTATTTGTCTGGCTTCAATCGGTTGTCTGGAAAAGGTCCGATCACTCCTGTGTATGAACTCTGTAGCCCAGAAAGGGGTCTTAAGTTACATCTTGTAGCCCGAGCCTCGCCGCAGTGATTATTTTGCATCACCGGGCACTAACTTAACTTAAGTCCCCCCTGGTGGGAGGTTTGCTGGTGTGAAGCACTGGCTGGTGGGCTGTTAAGCTATGAATCCTAGTATCCGAGTATAAAGTTTAAGAAGAAAAATTCCCCCAAGGGGATATAAATTTCTTAAGAACCCAGTATTTATAGAAAAAACCTATGTACAGTGGGTAGACAGTGAAAAGTGGCTGCTTATTTTGGATTCCAGAGCTCTGAAACATAAACTTGAAGTCATGAGACTTGGTCAGGTGGTGCATAATAGCTCCCAAAAAATGAATATGAAATAATAAAAGCAAAAAATAAAGTTTCAAAATTTGTGAAAAATAAAAAATAAAGTTGATTTTTTTTCAAAAGCTTTGATATTCATTTTGGGGGAGTGGGAGTGCTGAGAGAAAGAAACTAGATTGGAACGTGGGAAGAATGATTATAAGTGAAAACAAATTGGAACCAAAAAAGGTTTAGCCAGGTTGGTGGTCCAGATTGGAGCCAAAACAGTAAATTCTAGTGCTTTACTACAATGTGGGCTGGTGAGTGCCCCACTCAAGAGCTGTTTGAAGCCATCTGAAACCCAATTTTTCCAAAATTTTCATTCATAATCATTCTTCTTATTTCCCAATCTTTCGTTCTCTCAGCACTTCCACTCCCCCAAAATGCATATCAAAGCTTTTGAAAAAAATCAATTTTATTTTTTATTTTTCACACATTTTGAAACTTTATTTTTTGCTTTTATTATTTCATATTCATTTTTTGGGACCTATTATGCACCACCTGACCAAGTCTCATGATTTAACATTTGTGTTTTGGAGCTCTGGAATCCAGAATAAGCAGCCACTTTTAACTGTCTAGGCACTGTACATACTTGGGTTGTTGAGAAACAAAACCCATAAATTCATAAAATATGTATATAAATAGGGTGAAAAATCTATCAAAATGTGACATGGGAATTAATGTCATAACAGTGGCAAAGCCACCCCTCCTGCAGGGAGGGACTTATGAGTAAAGCGGGGGTACTTGCCTGAGAGGTTCTGGAAACCTTGGACCTTTAGCTCTCTCACTTTTTGAGCTACACATGTGTTTCTGCTGGGGATGCTTCTACCTACTCAGTTTTGCAAGAAATGTTGTCAAACATTAAAGCAAAGAATAAAGATGACTCACAAATTTCTCATGCTCAAGCCTGCAGGCTCAAGCACAGAAGGATGGATAATTTCTTGACTCCATTCGAAATCCACTTAAGATAAATGTGTTGTTATTTCAACAAGCTGACAAGTTCTAAAAATTGACTCAATGAACAAGAGTCAACTGGTGCTAGCAGCTGAGCCAGACAGCTTTTAAACTACAGGCTGGAAAATTCAAACAGTGAATTTCCAGCCTGTTTTGGTGAGTGGGCTCAGGCGAGCACCCCCACATAGTTTGTAAGCCCCTCCCTGCGGGAGGGGTGGCTTCTCCACCACCCAAATCCAACCTCCCACACAGGGAGGACTTTGTTAAGTTAGCACCCAACATCATTGTTGTAACATGAATGTTGCAGGCCTCTGCCTCGCCATAGCACGGCACCCGGGGAAGTCTCTTCCAAGAACTCTGAGTCGGGGACAATGTTGACATCTAAGTGACATCCCTCTATGACTCTAGTGGTCCAACTAGCTATGACATCATCTTTGTATCTTGGCTCTCAGATAATTGATCAGACTCTCTTTATTCTCTGCAAGAATGCCGCTTGATCCTTGCTTCAGCAATTGCTCAATCCTCCTCCAATCACGACTCTTGAATATAAAAACTCGATTCTTCTCGACTTTCATTTGATCTTCTTTCCTCGGGGAACTCTTTCAACTCATCTTCATCCATCAGCCTTTCTTACTTAATCTTCATTGCTGATTTGTTCCTCCGTGTCTTGTTAAAACTCTTATCGAAGACAAAACTCTGCTAAGCGCTTTTGTTCGCTCACCACTCAAGACTTCTATCATCGGCAAATCTCCTTGGGCTTTAGTTCGCTCATCACTTCTTTCCGTCTGCTTGCCAATTCTTGACTACTCATCGCCAGACGGTCCTTCGTTTAGAATGTTTCCCTGTGACTGGCGGGTATCTCTTGTCTTGGTGGAGGGGAAACAAACCATCTTAGAGTAGTTCCCGCTTCCTCTTGCGTTTCCGGGTTCCTTTCCTTCTCTCGTGTCATTGTCCTGCCACTTGTGTTGTCATTGCCTTTAGGTATTTTTATTTCTTTTTCTTTCATTTCTTTCTTTTATTTCTTTTGTCACATTCTTGTTACTGATCAGAAATAAAACCTTTAGTTTAAACATTCACAGATTTAAAGTCTCAATCTACTAATGTTGTCTCCTTGATTGGTTTCAAGTTCAGAGGGGGCTTGATTTTCACGGATTTGGGTGAATTGGTCTTGGATTCCAAGGTTGGAGACAGCTGGAGTAGCGGTGGAAGAGTTGTTTGCCACTGAAAGAAATATTTATTAAAGTATAATCAGAATTTTTTCTTGATAAAAACTGAGTATAAGTCAGTCAAAAACACTTTTTTATCTTACTTTTTATAGTTTAACAGATTTTTATAATTGGTTTTAAGTTGTTTTTATTCTGATACTGAAAAAGCTCATCATCTGGAAGTGCTGTAACACCAGCGGTGGGCCGCTACGCTACGCTACGCTTGTGGCCCAAAAAGCGTAGCGTAGCGGCGCTTTTTTCATCCAAAAACCGTAGTGTTAGCGGTTTTTTAGCGGGTTTTCGCTACGCTACTCTGCGCTACAGCACTTTTAGCGGAAAAAGCGGCCAAAAACCGCTAAAAACGGCTGTAGCGCAGCGTAGTGGGCCCTTTTTTGCGGCCCACACGCGTAGCATTAGCGGTGTCGTGGCGGAATTCCGCTACGCTACGCTAATTGCTAACAGCAATTCCGCTGCGTTACGCTACACTAACCGCTACGGTTAGTGTAGCGGCCCACCGTTGGTAACACTCCCGTTGCTGAGGACGCAACCAAGGCTGAGAAGGAGGCATACGAAGAATCCGGCAATAAGGCAATTGCCATCATCACATCTTGTCTCGATCCTCGTTGCTACAATGAAGTTGTTAACTCTCTTACCATTGCTAGTCCCATTGTCAGCTTGCTACTATGGCAGAGACAACCTGTCATAGCAAAATAAAATAATAAATTACATAAAAAATCTAAGAATAAAGTAAAAATATTACATAAGTAAAAGAAACAACATTACTTATGTAAACACTATAAAAAATACACAGAATAAATAAATAACTTAGAATGTAGAAAGAAATCTTGGAATATTATTGCAAATTCTGAATCTACGTACAAATTAACCTAGGGCACCTCAGCCAAAGGTACCCCCCAATTCTCACTCCTTCACCCTTTAATACAACCTTGAATAATTAACTGGTACCCTTAGATCACAGGCCCTGGATACTTATGCATTATACATAACCAAATGCATATACTCCAAATCTTGTCACAGATTTGGAGTGTTGTGTAAAGTTTAGAAGATAGTGTAGTGTGGCGTGCACTGTCTCCAAGCCTGCGTGCCGCGTAGTCATGCTGCGCACAGTTGGCAGGCGCACCTGACTACAATTTAGCCCAAGGCTCAAGCCCCCGCGCGTGCTAGGTATGCCTACCCGCCTTGGATACATGCATAACCCCCTCTGGGTTACCAGTATCCAAGAAATGGGCCACAAAGCCCCAGAAACTCACTGTGCACGTGTCAACAAAGCCCCCACATGTGTAATAAAAATATAAAAAAGCTAGAATATTCATGAATATACTACAGTAACTCTGAATATTCCATCTTCCAGTTTGTAGCACGTGTAACAAGCCCCAGAAACCAGTTCTGGCACATTCTGTGGCCTATTTCCAAGGTAATGGCTCCACGTAACAGACTACCCCTTACCCACAGGCTCCCAAGGAATATTCTTGGTTCAAATAAACTTGTGCTTGACCCCTTGGAGATTCTAGAATGTTATCCCCAAGGTTTCAGCCCTTGTTACGTCTCTAAGGGGGCTAAAATGGCCCAAAAAGTGCACTGAAGACCTCCTAAGCTCCCCTGAGCAACCCCTGAGGCCTTCCACAGGTCTTTAAAGGGCCTTCTGACTGCCGAAATAATGATCCCCAAGCTTTACAATACCTTATAGAAATTTACTTACCATTTACAAGTCTCCTACACTTGTAATTAGCCTAGTTACTACTATAATTGCTGTTATTAAAGCCTCAAGAACCCCCAAGAAACTCCCCAGTGATCACCCAGCACCCAAAATCCACTTTTTTGAGCGCTTCCAACTGTCCAGTTTCTACTCTGAAGATCCTCAAGACCCTACATGATTATTACTAGTGAGTAATAACCCTTTTCTTGAGATTTTCCCCATTATTTCTTACTGGGATATAAACCACCCCTGTTTACAGGCCCCAGTGTACCAGGTACCTAAATCCTCTGCTTTTAGCACAATACCTTTGAGGGATCTAACCACCCCTGATTTATCAGGCCCCTCAGGTTTAATTTATATTAATTTCTTTAATATAAATTGGCCACTTTTTCTTTTAAAAATACCCATAAATTCCTTTCTTTTATTGGAATTTATTCCTTTAAAATTAATACCAAAAATCCTTAAGATTTTTGCTTGCTGTTGCACCACGTGTAGCTAGAAGATTTTATATCTTGGCATCACGTAGGCTGACACCCATTCTCCTTTGGAAGAAAATTGCAACTCAATATACTTCTCATTTGGTCATCAACAGAGGTCAAGTCTTCATGAATTGGTCAGCTGAAATTTACTCTGGTAACCTTCAAGACTAGATCAACAAGACAAGAGCTCTTCTTCTCGACATTGACGTTGTTGGAATCACTCTTCCTCCAGACATCATCTCCTACCTAG